AGGTCTGAATGTTCATTCCTGTCTGCAATCCCTAAGTTAAAATCCTAACCCCAAGGTTAAGGTATTTAGAGGTTCAGCCTTTGGATTTAGTCCTGAGGGCAAATGCCTTACAGAAGGGATTAGCAGCCTCAAAGAAGAGTTCTGCCAGTGAGGACCCAACAGGTGACCTTCAAGGAGAAAGGGGGCCTCACCAGACGCAGAATCTGCCAGTGCCCTCACCTGAACGTATCAGCCTCCAGAACCATCCATGAGAAACGCATTTTTGCTGTCTATAAGCCGCCCCGCCTATGAGAGTTCCCTCTAGCAGGTCAAACCGACTATGGTACCTTCCTGCAATGAATGGATATTGGCACGACATTAACTGAGCTCCATATTTTATTTGGATTTTGTTAGTTATTCCCAGATATCCTTTTTCTGTTTCAGGATCCCATTTAAGATACCTAGATTGGTTGCCTACAGCTGCCAGAATAAACTGCCATAGACTCAGTGGCTTGAAACAATAGACCTTGTTTTTATGCACATTTGTGGAGGCCAGAATCTGAAATTTACCAGGCAGGCCAAGCTAACCACCCTGAGGGGAAATTTCCCAATGAAGTCACTCAGAGAGTCACAGAACTGAGAGGAGCACACTCTGGAGTCAACCAGGACTTAATTTAAAATAAGTAAAGCTTGAACACTGATATAATTACACTAAATACCAAAGAATGCAGAATCTACACATTTCCAGTAAAAACCTGTTTATATAAAAATATGCAATGTTCCTTTTCTTTTTTTTTTTTTTTAATGATGCTAGGAATTGAACTCAAGGACTCTACCACTGAGCTACCTCCTTAATCCTTTAAATTTTTTTAAATTTTGAAACAGGGTCTTGGTAAGTTTCTCAAGCTAGCCTCAAACTTGGAATCCTCCTGCCCCAGCTTTGGCTCCCAGATGTGTGCCACCATGCCCTGCTATGTATATTTGTTATAAATAAAAATGGCTTTATAAAATTTTTAAATTGGGTTTTAGATGAACAAAAAGATCCTATCATTATCCTGTAAGCAATCCACCATTGTATCATGTGTTTAAAACAGGTAATCCTTCATGAAATACGTGCAATCCTACACTGGCAATGTTCTAACTTTGTAATATGCAAACAGCCACTGGAGTGTCACCATTGGACACCTGAGAAGCCCTGCTGGGGACCTCACCCTCCACCCTTTCCTCTCCAGGTCTGCTCACTGCAGATGGCTCTGTGGCCATCCCTTCCCAGTCTCTTCTCCGAGGAAGATCCCAGTCCTCTACCTCCATACAGTTAGCTCAAGGCTGTTTCCCCATAACTGGGTCAAAAAAAACCTGGCACACAGTAGGTGCAATAGACTGGACTGAGATCCCAGTATAGCCTTACATCTGGATGAGGTCATGAGGGTGAGGGCTCTGTCTTAGCCAGTTCAGATTACAACAAAATGTCATAACCCGAGCAGCTCACACAAAGCAGGGACTTACCTCCCAGAGTTCTGGGGCTGGAAGTCCAAGATCAGGGTAGCAGCATGGTCCACCCTAATTGCTTATGGTAGAAGGTGTTGGGCGCAGGCGCTCAACATACCATACCCCACCCGGGACTAAGGACCACGCCAGCTTCCGCAATGTGCTACGTCCCTCCTTAAATTAGCCAACCCGTGCGCACTTCGTGCTCACTCCATACTCTGTGGCAACTCCTGATTGGCCACAGCTGGATATAGTAGCCGGAGCCTACATCCCATTCCCGCCCTGCTTCCTTGTGGCAGCCTGTGATTAGTCACGGCCGAATATATAAACCAGAGCCCGCCTAAATAAACTAGCAGTTAACTGTCGTCCACAAAAGCGTCTCCTGTCTCCTGTTCATTGGAGCTGCGCCGGTCAAGAAGGGAGTTTCCTGGGGTCTCCTCTCCTTTATGAGGGCACTGGTCCACTCTCAAGGACTCCATACTCTGAGTTAGTCATCTCCCAGGCACCCTAACTCTTAATACAATTTCAACAGAGGAATCCAGGGAGACACAGTTCACAACACATTCTACTGTAAAATAAGACAATACACACACAGACCCCGTGGTTTGGGGTGCTTCTCACCTCTTTTAATTTCTAGAGTTGTTGGAAAGAATGCCAGACCCTCCCAGGCCAGCAGCGTAGCATCTGTGGCAGTTTGGGCCTATTGCTCAGCACAGGGACAGTATTTTCTTTTTTCCTGACAAAGTATATTCAGTCACTCGATGATGGGCCCGTCCTGCACAGGCTGACATAGAGCAGAGTGCTGCAGTTGATTAACAATGCCTGGCATGGTAGCAGTGGGGTGGTATCTGCACCAATCTGACTTAGGAACTGCTGCGCAGGATGCAGGCACACCCAAGGAGTGCAGATCTGCACACCCTGACTCCAAGAGGACAAGAGTGTGGTGGATGTGGAGAGGAGAAATCTGCTGCACTGGGACTAAGGCACCCTTAACTCTGCTTGTCTCCAAGGTCAGAAGTGCAGCTTATGCACATAGGTGAGGTCTGTACGCTGGAGCCTCTGAGAGGGGCTGAGACACACGGCCCCTTTCAGAGGTTAAGCACTGCCCTACACACTATAGGGAACCCAAAGCCTCCTCAGCCTCAGCCCCATGTCTAGGGGCTCAAGTCTTCCACATGAGGAGTGGGCAGGTAGTCTGGGGGAGGGTAAGGTGTCCTTGGACACCCTGGTCCTGTAGGTGGCACTAAGGTTGACAGGCAGTCAGGGAAGAGCCAGGAGGTCCTGGACCCAGAAATAGGGGAACAGGGCACAGGCAAAGGCCTGACCCGGTGTGTGTCAGGCTGAGGCTCCGCCCTGTGGAGCTGAGACTGAGACTCTGCCACAGAAACAGGGCCAGTGCCCACTGGAAGCAGAGTCCACGTAGAACAAAAGTGGGACCTCTGCCACCCACCCCCCAGGCTCCCTCTCCTGGGAAGGAAGTCAGAGGTGGCAGGTGGGCTCAAGGTGCAGCTACCTGGGGCACACAGAGACAGGTGCAGGGGTAACACCTCAGCCAGAGCTGTAGGGCAGGAGCAGCACTCACGGGAGACCTAGAGGGCGAGCTGGGAAAACTCTAGAAACAAAGGCAGGGGCAGGGCTGGGCAGAGAAGGCCAGTTGCCTCCCATACTCATGGCCCCCTGTAGTAGACTGGAACTGGGTACCCTGGGTTCAAATCCTGCCTCTTCCTCTTTCTAGCAGTGTTGCTTTGGGCAAGTTCCTGATCCTCTTCGGCCTCGGATTCCTCAACTCAAGAAAACAGCGCCAACCTCATAGCACTGATGGGTGAGGGTTGAGTGAAAGCATAACAAAGCAGACAGGATTCTGTATCTGCTAAAATCACAATCATGTAAGGCAGCTGGAACACAGATCCCCGTTTCCTCAGTGATATCCCATGAAACCTTCAACTAAGAAAGCAAAATAAAATGATAAAGCACATTGTGTCATATTCAGGTCAAGCACAGACAAGTCCACAGTAAAAAAACAAAAACAAACTAAGGCCACATACGGTGGTGTACACCTGTAATCCCAGCACTCAGGAGGCTGAGGCAGGAGGATTACTGCAGAGTCACATAGTGAATTGAAGGCCAGTCTGAACAACACAGCAAAGACCCCGTCTCAAAAAACAACAAATTAGACTGGGGAAATAACTCAGCGGTGAAGCACTGGGTTTGAACCCCAGTACTACAGAAAAGATAAAAGAAAAGGAAAGGAAAGGAAATCCTGACAGCATCAACCTTTACTGGGGCCACCTTTTCCAAGTCTTATGGGCCATGGAACCCTCTCAGCACCTCACACATGACACCACACAGACATCAGCTTGGGATGTGCTGGGGGAGAGGGGACGTTTCCAGATGGAAAACTGGGTCTCTAGGAGCAGCCTCTACTGGGCGAAGCCACTGAGTCCAGGGCTCGAGCACAGAGGAAACTGAGCCAGAAGAAGGCAGAGACCTCAGCTGTGATGCCCATGACACAAGGGAAGGCCCAGAGGCCCAGAACAGAGACCGAGGGGCTCTGAGAATTCACATCTGGAGAGAGAGGGCCCAGGCCCTGTTGACTTGCTGAGGAGCAGCCTGTAGAGGGAAGCTGAGGACAGATGTTCTGTGGGAGAACAAAGAAATCCTCTATCGCTAGCCACAGACCGTGTGGTTGTAAAACCTACAGCAGTTGTCCCTCGCAGCTGGGCTGAACTCCAGGCTGGTGCTGAAAAAACACAGGGTGTGGTGTGAGCTCCAGGCTGCCCCTGCTGTGCAGCCCTGGGAAGGCCACTTGGTGTCTCTGGTCTGCTCCTCGTCCCCAGATTGGGTCCTCACACCTTTTCCTCCTCCAGCCCTCACCACCTCAGCTGCAGCCAGGACTTTTCTAGCTGCATCCTGGGACCCAGCCACACAGCCCTTACCTCTGGAAGGCCCTGCGACAGCACTGGTACACTTCAAAGCTGCTGCTGCTGAGCGTGCCATTCAGGAGGCCCCTGCACCCAGCCTCGGTTTCCCTGGGTGCATAGAGGATGCCTGTGGAAGGACAGCAGCTGCAGGCGGTGTCTGGGGGCCACCTGGACCTGGGGACTACCAGGCCTACCCTCACCTGCCACACAGGCGTTGACGAGGGACACGCAGGCCCCTGTGAAGAGCGCCCGCAGCACCAGCCCTGCAAAGTCGCTCCTCCGATGGGGGACCAGAGAGGCTGTAAGGGACAACAGTACTCAGGATGAAGCACTACCTCTGACCGCACTGGGTGGCTCTACCTGTGTCTTTTCATCTCCTCTGTGTGGCCCAAGGGCAGGTGTCACTCCCTACTCTATCTCCCCTTCCAGAGCAGGTGCAAGCCCGGAGGCTCCCTGGAAGAGGAGGCCCACCATCATTTAGGCAAGTTCTGGTCCCCACCGCCCTGGGGCGCATAGGACTCACTCAGGCCGCCCAGCATGATGCCGATGGAGCTGACATTGGCAAATCCACAGAGGGCAAACGTTGCAAGGGTTTCTGCTCGGACCTGAGGATTCAGGCAGTGATGAGGAGAGCCTCCCCTAGAGATGCCGGGCCCCACACCACCCAGCCACGGCCATAGTCAGGAGACTCTCTGCGCCTGACCTTCAAGCTCTGTGACCTGTCTGCCTGTGCCCTCCCGGCTATCTGTTAGCTCCCGCTTCACCCCTTTAACCTGCACTGGGGTAGTTCAGGCGGGCCCAGCCCCTCCCTGTGGCCCTGCCCAGCCTGTGCTGGACACTAAAGCAGCCTCTTATGCAAGCTGAGGAGAGGGGGGACCCTTGGAGCCCAACCAGCCTGCCTGCCCAGCTCATTCCCACCCACGGCGGGGGGTCCAGATACACAGTGAATGGTTCCATCTTATTTATTTTATATGTATGTATGTATTTTGAGACAGAGTCTCACTACTTAGTTTGGGCTGGCCTGGACTCACTATGTAGCCAAGTCTGGCCTCCAATTTACAGTGATCCTTCTGCCTCAGCCTCCCAGGTCCTGGGAGCCTGCACCGCCACACCCAGCAGGGTTACATTTTAACAATGTATTATAGCAAAACAAACAAAGTATTACAGCAGAAGACATGCCGCCCCGAATCCCCTCTAAATCCTTTCCCTTTGAGCACACTCATCCCATCACTCCTGCCACCTGCTCAAGCAGCTCTGGAGGTCCTCGGCTTTGCGTTCTTTATGAGTTGAAATAAAAACACAGTGAAAGCTGCCGCCAAAGGTCAGCCAATGGAGAAGCAGGCTTGTAAAGGTCAGCCAATGGAGAAGCGGGCTTGTAAAGGTCAGCCAATGGAGAAGCAGGCTTGTAAAAACATCCTTATGCCCTTGTTCACCTCAGTCACCAGAGCTGGCACTGGGTGTGTGTCTCCTGGCTCTTCCCCAGAGTCAAAGTGAGCATGAAAGGGAAGCATTTTGAATCGATCCAGGATATCAACACAAGGACAGTGCGACCAGAGACGCTCAGGAAAGAGGGTTCTCAGAGGCCCTGCAGGAAGAGGCAAGGGTGGTGGGATGAGTGGGTGAAGCAAGAGCGTTAATGGCAATGCATCTTTTACAGCAATAATTTTAAACATTCATGTTAGTTTTTGATCACTCTACATATGCTCGGTGTAAGGGCTTCGTGTGCCCAAGTGTGGAAGGGTAGCACCTGCCAGCAGGCAGGCAGTCCTAAAGGATCCTGTGATACACGGGAGGTCAGAGCGCCAGGTCAGAGCAGGTGGTCAGCAGGGTGGTTCCCCATGGCCATTTGGCTCCAAATAGTTGTTTAATTTCCCAGGAAGAAGTTTGAAGAGCCCAATGGAGCAGTTTGGAAAATAAAATGGTTCAGATCTGTACCTTATCCCATATATAAAATTAATTCTAGGTCATTAAAACATGGTCAGCTTAAAAATAACAGAACACAGGATAACGATGATTCTGGCTACAGAGTCGTATGGTGGCACTCATTTAGGAAAGGATCACATAGGGGCTCTGAGAGGTCAAATGGCTGCGACAGTTCACACAGCAGGAAGCGGATGACAGAGTTTCAACTCAGTTGGTCTCCCAAACCCAGGGCCTTCACTACTTCCTTACATTGTTTCAAGGAAATTAATACTTATCAAATAGCTTTCGAAGTATGGAAGTAATAGAAGAAATCAGGAAGATAAAGATTTCATGTAAAATCTGTGATGAAAAGCAGATTCCTATGTACAAAATGAGCGGGGTGGGAGGAACCTGGAAGACCATATAGAGACTTCCTGGGGTCTCCTCGTCCCCCCGCCCTTGACTATCTCTGGTGACTCTCCTTGGGGTGCTATGGTACATGTTACACCTCTATCCTACACAGGAGTCAGGGGCAGCAGCTGGGCTGAGGCCACAGAGACTGTAGCCCAGGAATTTGAAACAAGAGGCCTCAGAAGATGGCTACAGGGCCCAAGGCTGCCCAGTGTTCCCGGATGATACAGTATTGCACCAGTGCATCCCGGTCAGGCGTTGGGAGCTGGGAAAGCAGCTGTCAGAGCCTTTGGGAAAAGCTGTGTCACCCAGCTGCAGGAAACAGACAAGATACTCACTGAGATCCACTGCTTCCTGGCACCAACCCACTCCTCAGCCCCAGCCAGGCGACGCCGCTTGTACTCAGACAGACCCTGGTAGGCCACGAACTCATTCAGGAAGAGCTTTGTCCCCAGTAGCTCGGCCACAATCGGGCAGTCCTCCCAGGGGACACCCATCAAGAAGGCTACTGGCCGCAGCGTGTAGGAGCAGATGACCTACGATACAGAGGAGGAGGGTAACACTACAGCAAGTGGCACTTTCTGAGGTCTGCAGCCTGTCCTCCCTGCCCTCCAGCCTGGGACCACCTCCCTGAGAGCCATACCTGGAAGCTGAGCTCCGGGACGTCCACCAGGGCACCCAGCCAGGACAATGCTGCATTGACGAAGGCCAGCACAGCCAGGAACGCGATCAGGTTGGCAGCGATGTTGGCAATGACCTTCACCGAGGTGGCAGCTCCACTGCTGAGGGCTTCTACGAGGTTCTGAGCATCTCTGTTGTGAGGATCAAGAGCTGCCATCACTGACATTCGCCACACAGCAAGGTCCTCATCGTAGGGTTTCCAAGAGGAACCCTGGACAGAGGGTCTCAGAATCAGTGTCCCTGTCACCCCTCTGAGGTCCAGAGAAAGAAAGGATCAAGTTGGAGCACAGGGATAAGGCAAGCTGTCCTATCAGATGTGGCACCGGTGACTCCAGCACTCTGGGACGCTGAGGCACGAGGATCACAGTTTGAGCCCAGCTTGGGCAACTTAGTGAGCCGCTGTCTTGAAATAAATAAAAAAGATCTGAGGATGTAGCTCAGTGTGAAGGTCCTGGGCTCAGTCCTGAGTAACACACACACACGCACACACACATACGAGGTGATCTCTAGCTCCACCGTGGTGGAAGCTCTTAGCCATGTGTGGCTTTTAGCCATGGAGAAGAATTGAGTTGTATTGTTGGTGCAAACTAAAGAGGAGATTTCTTTTTTTTTTTTTTTTTTTTTTTGAGACAAGGTCTCACTATGTAGTTGAGGCTGGCCCTGAACTCACTATGTAACCTGGCTGGCTTCAGACTCATGGAAATCCTCTTGCCTCAGCCTCCTGAGTGCTGGCATTACCGGCGAGTGCCACTATGCCCGGCTATTTTCAGTATTTTGGAGGATGAAACCTTACCCTGCCGCTGAACATTCGTTAGGACACTGCTCTACACATCAGTGTGTGGGTGCCACCAGGTGGTCAGCCCTTAGAGGTGCAGAGAAGTGACTTTGAACCTCTGGGAACCACTTCAACACCCGGCCCAGTCGCCCCCCAGAGCCTGGTCACTCCTCTGTGCCTTGACCAGTCCCTGGTCTCCGGCTGCTCAGAGATGGAGATTAACAGGCAAGAACTGAAGTCTGCATTTTGCAAAGAAATTGCAACGACAGGGATAGTGACTAAAGGGTGCCGGGGCTGGGCAGAAGGAAGGCTGTGATGGGCGCGGAGGACAGGACCAGGCATGTGGGGAGGACAGCCTCGCGCCCCTCCCTCAACCCTGCACGCTGCCCCGCGGCCCTCACCCGTAGCTCAGCCTCACTCCTTCCTCACCGTGGGCCCTGGCCTCCTCTACCTCGGGGTAGGCCAGCTTGGACAGGGCCAGGGCACCCGGAGCAGCCATCACGGACGCTGCTATCAGTGAGCTGGCGTCGACCTGCAGGAACGAAAGAGGATCGAGGGTGGGCGCTGCCCTGACTGCCGCCATCCTCAGAAACAGTGTTTCCTTTGTGTGCTGAGCATCTCAGCCACCTGTACAGGAGGCCCCAGGAAGATGGGTATTTCCTCTCCTGCAGTTTTGTAAGTGAGGCAGGGCACCTCTTGTTCCCATTTTATAGAGAAGGAAAACTGAGCCCCAAGTACTTGATTACAGCTTGCCCAAAATGAAGGATGAGAAGAAATTAAAATCCATCTTTCTTTGGGTACAGAATTTGGGCTCCTTTCCTGTTAGTCTGTCTCTTTTGCCACTCAGCCCCAAGACCTGAATGTTCCCGGGAACTGAGGGCCTTGTGAAGGATTCAGGCAAAGCCCTGGTGTCCCAGAGTGGGGCTGGGTCAAAGTGGCAGCCTGGGTGTGTACATGTGCTAGTTCAGGACAGCCCTAGGCAGGACTCCTTTCTGATTCATCTTCCTGTTCTCTTCCACAGGAATAGATGAGTGTGTGCATGCGTGTGTGTGTGTGTGTGTGTGTGTTACTGGGGACTGAACCCAGGGCCTTCACACTGATCTACATCCCCAGCCTCCTGCCTCTTTTTATTTATTTTCTATTATTATTCTGAGACAGGGTCTCACTAAGTCACTAAACTGCCCAGACTGGGCTCAAAGTGGTGATCCTCCTGCCTCAGCCTCCTAGAGCCCTGTAATTACAGGCATGTGTCACCACACCTGGTGATGAGACCTCTTTTTTTTTCTCTACCACTGTGTTATTTACCAAATGGTGCAGTGAGGATCAATTCAAACATATCACAGCAAGAACATGGCCAAACACTGTTAAGGTGCTGTCAAAATGCGTGCTCAACGCTTCTACATCCCCAACAACTGTCTGTCCTCGACCACTGGGGCTGGGGCAGTCTTCTCTTCTTTCTGCTTTTTGATATCTTTCAAAACATCTACAACAATCTCCATCATGTTTATAAGCTGAAAAGTAAAATAGGCCTGAAGCTTGTAGTAAGCAAGGAGTGATTTTTTAAAAATTTTAAATAAAAAGAAAAAGGGAGGTGGATGCCAGACACACACGAGGGCTGGGGAGGGGCGAAGGGGTACACAGTGTCCACAATGGTGGCAGTAACTGCCAGGAAGGTGACACAGCCACCTGAGACCATGCACTGACCTTCATTTCTTCTTTATTATTTTCAAACTTGCAATATCATTTGCTGAGCATTCTCAATGACATCCAAGAAGTGGGTTATTGTAGTAGGTTATTGTCATCAATTTAGCAAAATTTTTAGTATATGATATTTAGTATAATTTTTTAGCAAAAAATTTAGTATATGAAGGCCTACTGAATGCTTCTTTGGACTAAAATTCTTACTTCAAGGGTTTTTTTTTTTTACTTCAAATGCTTTTTTTTTTTTTTTTTTTTGGTACTGGGGATTGAACTCATGACTGTGCACTTGCAAAGCAGGCGCTTATGCCGCTGAGCTAACTCCCCAGCCCCTCAAGTACTTTTTAAGAATTAGAAAAAAACTGTAAAAAATGTATTCAGACCCGGGACCAAGGTACTTGTGGGAGGAAGAACACCCTGGGCCACGCCCTCTTGAGACTTTCTGGGCCAGGTGTCAGGACTCAGTGTCCCCCCACTGCCCAGCGGCCAGGCAGTAGCACCACTTCTGGGGTCTTGGGCTTCTTGCCACACCAGCCAGGGCCCTGCCTTTTCCTCTAGCATGGTGATTACTCTGCAGTGTCACGGTCCGGATGTGGTCTTCCCAGTGGGCAGCTGTGGCCAAGGCTCAAATGCTATGATGCTTGCTTCCTGGTCTGCACGAAAAAGATTGAGTCTTCCCCAGGCCCAGCCACTGTGCACTGGGTCACCCACTGCCAGCCACTCTGTGGGGCCGGAACACCCCCAGTCCGCTCTCTGCCAGGGCCCCAGGAAAGAAGCCTGCTATCTGACATCCAGGCCTCTCTGCCTGCCTGAGCCTCTTCTCACTCTGACCCAAATATTACCATGCAGGAAGAGACCAAGGACAAGCACCTTCAGCTTAAATTTTCAAAAACATCTTTACTAAGACAGGAAATAAACTGAACGAACTACTGATCACAAAATGGGCAATGGCAGGACAGACTTCTGACCCTAGGATGTCAGAAAGAGAACGGTCACTCCTCAGATACCTAGCTCAGTATCTTCTGCCTCTGACTGCTACACAGCTGCAATTTTTACAATTTACAATTTTTTCATATTTTACAGATATGGAAACTGAGCTCCAGATGTCACAGGGGCTCATGAGTAGCTAATTCCCCAAGGGCCATCTGCCTGGGCTGTCAGAGCTGGGTTGGGCAGAGATCCCAGTGCCAGCGTGAGCAGGCAGAGCTGTACTGGCCTTCGAGCCTTCGTGAGGATGGTGCAGATGCAGCCACAGTGAAGCTGTTTAGTCAAGCGGTCTCAGCTACCACTGTCCAACTTAGATAGAATGGGGGCCAAAGCCATTAATTATATACTTTCCAGTAGCCATGTTTAGGAAGCCAAAAGAAACAGATGAACGTAGATCTGAACCACGTATTTTAATTAACCCAATATATCTAATCTTTCTGACCCGTGGAATCAATATGAACTTATTCATAGAATATCTTAATTGTTTTTTCTGTGCTGAGTCTCATGCTGCATCTCCTCTCAGGCCAGCCACATTCAGCGGCTGTAATCAGTGACCCTCAGGCGGTGCCATCTAGAGGGGCCTGGAAGGCTGCAAGGTGTGGGCAAAAGGATCAGAAAGTGGGACCATAAAGGGAACAGAGGGTCACCAGAACCCAGGAACCTGGAGCAGGGAGCCAGAGGGAACTACTCTCCCTCTCGGAACCCAGGATACAGGACAGAGCCAAGGAGGCCAAAGGTACTGTAAAGAGGGGTACAGGAAGGAGAGAGTACTGGACAGGCCAGGATGGGCTGGGCTGGGCTGTGGCAGCATAGGACAGCTGGGAGCAGAAGAGGGCTCTTCTGGGGCTGGAGGCAGGAAGGACAGACAGGGCAGGAAGGTCGCGGTGACAGCCAGGACCAGTCCCGGCCTAGCACCTGAAGGGAAGTAGGAACCAGGTACTGTCAGTTGGGGCACTGGGCTGCCCGGGACCAGGCCTGGACACGCTGGACTAAAGAAGGGAAGGACAGGGCTGAGTTTTTAAATCAGATTGTCCAGTGATTTTGACTTTACAACTGTAATGACAAGCGCTCAGTAGGAACTGTGCTTTGATTTTTGTTTGTTTGGTTGTTTTGGTGAAACTGGGAATGGCACACAGGGCCTTTGCACTGAGCTACACCCCAGGCCTTTTTAAGTTTTTTGAGGCAGGGTCAAAGTAAGTCAGCAAGTTGTCCAGATCAGACTCAAACTTGTGATCCTCCTGCCTCAGTTTCCCAGAGTTCTGGGATTACAGGTGTGTGCCAGTTTGGCTCTTTCCGGGTCTCCCCATCTGCACTACAATACTTTTGCCAGGCTGGGGGCAGCAGACAATTGTAGCTCCTGGGCAGCTACATGATCAGTCCAATCCTGGGAAGACACGTCAGGGTCCACTACTGCGCAGCTAAGCCAGGACGCTGGGTATGTTAAGCCAATCACATGCTTTTTCACCTTCTGGTGGCTTTATCAGGGTGTGGCTCATCACAAGTCACGGAGCACTCAAACTAAAGCTCTGAGCAGCATGCAGAGATGTTCTTACACCTGGCTGGGAGGCCCAGAGCAAGGTAAAGACTGTTACAGGCTTGATGTCCTGGCTATACTATGGCAACCCCTCCACCAATACTGACTGCGAAAACTGCTGCAGGAACAAAGTCTTGGGATTTCATTTTAGAAATATCAAATTCCTTCCAATAAAACCATTGGTGGGGTAGACACGGTTTGAGGTAGAAACCAGACAAGGAGCTCCAGGATCTTAAACCAGAGGGGAAGGTGCCAGCTGGATGACAAAACCTAGAGTGCTAGGAGCTTCCTTAACGTCAAGCAAGGTTGGGTGTGGCGGCATGCACTGCAATCCTAGTCACCAGAAAGGCTGAGCAGGAGACTCAAGGTCAAGATTAGCCTGGGTCACCAGCACTGCCCAGGCTCCTGTGGGAATGTGGCTCTGGGCTCACTAGTGTGACCCAATGTCTGAATGGATGGAGGACTGCAGGCAGGCTGGCTTGTGCTCTTACGTGTCCTCAGCCACCCTGAAGGACAGAAGTGAGACAGGTGGATTTGGGACCAGAGAAGAGGTCAGTGTGGGCCACCCTCCATGCTCCCACTTTCACACATGCAGCACGCAGCCTGCTTTAGAGTCCCCCCCATACACACCAGATTGTGGGCTGACAGGGGGCTGCAGTATCAAGAGTGGGTGTCTCACTGCCCCCAGGGAGCCCTGAGGGGGAGGGAACTCTCAAGTTCAAAGCATGATTCCACTGAGCCTGTGCTGATTCACACCACCACGAACATTTTCACAGCATCATAAATGATTTCACACCATTATACACTCAAGAAATTGTGAAGTCTTGCCAGCATAATTTGGGAACTGTTTACAGTGACTGAATAGAAGGATTTTCATTTTTACTAGGACTGTCAGCTTGCACCTTTATACTGTTTTGTGTCATGCTTACAATGTTACAAAGAAAAGAGCACACTGTAGAAAATTACAGGTAGAATTATTTCACCAAGGAGGAGAGGAGAGGAGGAGCATTCAAGATATTAAATGCCTGTCACATAGAAGGACCTGGAGCGACACGCTGTAAAGCAGTGGTCTCAAGCCGAGCTTAGCCTCAGAATCACCAGGAAAGCTGTGCAGTGCAGTGTGCAGGGCCGGCCTCCAGCACTTCTTACTCTGCGGCCCTGAAGTGGGCCCAAGAATTTGCATTTCTAGCTGGGCAGGGTAATCATCACTGTAATCTTGGCACTCTGAAGTCTGAGGCAAGAGGATCCCAAATTCCAGCCCAGCTTGGGCAACTTACTGATTCTGCAAGAACTTACCTGAAAATAAAAAATGG